TTTTTTTTGAGTTGCAAAATCCACTTGAACATGCCGCTGCTTTTTTCTAGGTTTCTCAAGAACCATTCGAGCCAAAGAATTCGTTTTGGCATCGTCGGATAGATAATTGAATGGGGGGGGGGGGCATGGCCCTCATGACCCCCCCCTGGATCCGCCCTTGAGGGCTCAACATGTAGCACAAGAGCAAAGAAACGATAACTTTTCAAAAAAATGTTCTGCGAGATTCGGGAAAACGAAATGAGCAAAGAGACTCCTGCAATGGAAAAATGATTAATTGGGTTGGCCCTCAAAATCAGCAGATCTAAATCCCGTTGACTTCTTGGAAACTTAACAATTGGCAAGCAATTTCGGCACGGCATTGAGCTGTGCTTAACGTGCCAGATAAAAGCCCCATCCTTTCCAGAAAGCGAGGCGATGAGCGGCGCAAAGTGGGAGGCGGACCTTCCTAATGAGTTCCCGGTGCCGTCGCACAAAAGAGTGTCCCTCGGGACTCCTATCGGGAGTCGCCAGGCGTCCCGTCCAACCGACAACGCCGATACGCCCCCAGTTCCACCAAGGAGTTATGCCGAAGAGATGATGATGCCACGGCTAATCTCTTTAATTGAATCCATCTGACAAAGAAGCGACTTCACCTCGCCCGGCTCCATCATTACACTGTATTAACCCGCTGAAGGGTGGCTCATATCGACGTCAATTCCGCAAGAATGGCCTATTGAAGATGCAAAGGTTCGAGCTAAATTGCTTTGAGGATTTTAGCGTTTAGCCAATAGCGCCAAAACTAGCATTTGCGAACTGAATTTAGTAATACATAATTATAAAATTAAATTATCGCGTTGGGCCCATTGAATAAAGGTAATCCCTTGGATCGGCCAGCTCTTTTTCTAGCCTCTTATCGATCGAATCGCATAAATTAAAAGCCAGCCACTCACTCGAACTTTTCCAATCGCTCCAAATACATTAAGCCCGATATTCCATTTTGGTCCATTGCCGGGATGTGACATATTGAGTCTCGTTTCAGTGAAATGGTGCATGGTCGGATTTTCCATTTTTGCGGCTTAATTGAAAATCGGCCGGTTTGCCTTCGTTTTTAGAGCGATCCGTCCATGAATCGTAACCGGCCGGTTTATCAGTTTTATATGCTTTTGTTGCGCTGTATTTTCGACGATTGTTTCATTTCAGTGTCGATCCGACACAAAAGGGCTTCAGTTTGTCGCTGACGCAAGTTACGCGCGATTTGTTTCCAAGTATGCACAATTTCGAATTAATTCAATTTCAATTTTGAATTAATTGTACATACTTTTCTGACTGTGTTTCAATTCCTGGGCTTCAGTCATTTATTGTCTATTTATCAATTAAAATACGTTTCGGTGTTTTCCACCATCATCAGTTTCTCTAAAATAACAGATAGAAAAAAAAGTTTTATTAATTTAAAGAACAATCACAGTTGGTCAACAGCTTCATCATATCACACACTAAAATACATCACAATTGCAACACTTTAAAACATTCTGAGATTAATTAGACCTAACAGGTGATTAGTCAGGACAATCAATTCTGGGAAGAATTCTTCTTTGTTCGGATACTCAATTATTTTTACTTACATGTGTAGCGTTGTTGCTACTTTAAGCCTTGGCATATATTTGGAGTATTCATTTTGTCCATTTTGCACACAAAGCGAAATACTATTTACATTGATTTCTTTTACTTTCAGCTATTTTTCTTTGCATTCTAAGAATATTATTTTTGGTTTGCAAAATTCTTCAATATACCGGGTGTTAGTTAATATTCTATGTTTATTTC